GCACATGTTCTATTTTTTTTATTTCTTTTAAAATCAAATTTATCAAATACTAATATATATTCATTTTTTAATAATTTATAAGCAGATTAAAAAAGATCATTAAGTCACTTAACAATCTTTTTTAATCTTTTAATAAATTATTAAAAAATTGTTAAGTAACTTAATGATCTTTTTTAATTTTTTAATAAATTATTAAAATATTGTTAAGTTACTTAATAAATCTTAAAAAAATTAAAAAGATCATTAAGTCACTTAACAGTCTTTTAATAAATCTTAAAAAAATTAAAAAAGATTATTAAGCCACTTAAAGGTCTTTTAATAATTTATTAAAAGATTAAAAAAGATTATTAAGTAACTTAATTTCTTTTAATAATTTATTAAAAGATTAAAAAAGATTATTGTCACTTAACAGTCTTTTAATAATTTATTAAAAGATTAAAAAGATTGTTAAGTAACAATGATTGTTTAATGATTTATTAAAAAATTAAAAAAGATTGTTAAGTTACTTAATAATCTTTTAATAATTCATTAAAAAATTAAAAAGATTGTTAAGTTACTTAACAATCTTTTCAATCTTTTTAAAATGTATTAAAAAACCATTAAATAACTTACTAATCTTTTTTAATCTTCTAATGAATCATTAAAAAACTATTAAGTAACTTAATGATTTTTCATAGTTTATATACATTTACTAATTATTACTTAATGATTAGTAAATATATATCAACTATGAAAGATTATTAATATTTGTAGTTAATCTAAATTTATCAACTTGACTAAGTTAATATTTAAAAATTGGCTTAGTTAGCTATATTAGAATTGATTAAACTTTGAAACTTTTTAATATTTTTTTATTGGAATTATTAAATAATTGCACTGCACACTGTGATGCACTCCAGTTATACACTATTACAAATAAATTAATACATAATTCCAAATTCTAATAATTAATAGTCTACCAATATTTTTGTAATACAAGTGTTTATGTCATAGCACGATCCCATCTTTCACATAAATAAAGCTACTAATCAATCATTTAATCTTCTTTGTTTTTCTTATTGCTTTTGTTTAGCTTATCGATTATCTCTTTTTTTCACATTTATTTCTAGCTTATCGATTATCTCTATTAATCTTGTTTTTTTTTAGCTAATCGCATCTCTATTTATCTTGTTTTTTTTTATGTATCATGTCTCTATTTTTTCTTGTTGCTTTTTCTTTAATTCTAACATATATTACTTTTTTTTTTAGTTTATCAATCATCACTATTTTCTTGTCTTTTTTTTTTTTGTTTTTTTTTTTTATGTGATTCTATATTAATTACATACATTGCTTGACTTTTTCTTAATTTGATATTCTTATTGGTTCTTCTATTTGATCATCTTGTTGCTTTTGCATAACTACTTTTGTTAGTTCTTTATTTATTAAAAACATTATACAATAATGAACAATACAAACAGTGAATACATAACTAGTGACTTACCTGAAGCTGTGGATGATAATGAAATTAATATAGAAGGCTTTTTTGAAAAAGTTAGTTATAATAACATGGATATTGAAGCTTTGCATAAAAATGTTAAAGTAGTAGTAGTTAAAGAAAATCAATTATTTGATAATTTTAACCAAGCTGAAAGTCATATACAAAGTTATGCAGAGTTTAAAGGTTTTAAGATACGAATGAGTTGAAACACAACTACCAATATGGCTGAAAATGAAAAAATGATGTAAAAAAGAACAATTCAATGTCACCATTCTAGTAAATACCAGTCAGTGAACTCAGAAAATCTTAGAAAATCAGTCAAGCAAAACTGTCTATAGCATATTAATCTTTCAAGACCTCTAAAAAAAAATCCAACTTCTCAGGTTTTTGTCATGACATTGGTAGACACACACAACCATTATATGTGTTTCAAAGCATTGCAATTTGAAAAGATGAAAGCATTTACAAAAGAAATACGATATGATATAGAATTTTATATAAAAATATGTCATTTCAGTACAACTTTAATTAAGAGAATTCTTAAAGAAAAGTATCCTTACTATCCTCTTTATTCTAAGGACCTCTATACAGAAATACAAAGGCAAAGACTATCAGCACAGTATAATGAATATGACACTGCACAGTTTTATGAGGAGTTGTTAGTAAGACAACGTGAAGATCCTAGATGGTTTGTAAAAACAAAATGGGAGGCTAAAACAACTATACTTACAAGTATATTTTGGATGAGTCCAGAATTACACTATGGTATGAGTTTGGTAAATCGATAGGATATAATAATACAGCAAGTACAAACCATTACCATATGCCCTTATCACTTTTTGTGGTTCAAGATGACAATATGAAGTCAAGAATAGTTGCACAAGCTCTATTAAGCAATGAAACTATAAAGTCATATCAATGGGTTTTGCACATGACGAAGAAAGCAACACAAGAGAGAGTACCTAATGTGTTTGTCACTAATGATGACCCTGCTATGGAATGTGCAATTTCTACCAAATATTCTACAACTCATCACATCCTCTGTATCTGGCATTTAAAAGAAAATCTAAAAAAAATGTTTTATAGAAAATTAGGAGCATCATTTTCTGATTTTTATTCTGCATTCTAGAGGTGTCACAATAGTAATACTCCTAATCTGTTTTATTATTATTGGAATAAAATAGTTGCAAATCATTTAACAGCAAATCAATACCTTCAAAAACACTTGTATGGACAGTGTGAAGCATGGGCGCATGGATTTACAACAACAATTTTTACACTTGGCATTGAATCAACCTCATTTGTTAAAAATCAAAATGTCTGCATTAAACGTATCATCGAAAGCAGTAATACGTCTCTATATAAACTTGAAAAAGTTATAATTAATAATGTTGAAAATATTCAAAAAGAAAAAGAATATGAAGAACATATCAGAGAAATTTCTTCAGTAGTTAATATATTAACAGTATTTCCAAAAATTGAAGTGCTTGTTAGTTATTATCTGCAGACAAATGTGGCAAAATTTGTCATTAGCCAAATGAAAGAAAGTGTTTTTTATACAGCTTCTTATTCTAATATAGAAGAAGTTAAATGTACACTTATGAATAATTTATCTGAAAATGAGGATTTTGAAAATAAACCTGATGGTATACTCATGCATGCACAATTCATTTTGCAATGACTAGATCAAAGAAAAATTAATAAAATATAGAATATTACTAGATTAACAGAAA